TTGTGGAAGAGCAGGGAGCCAGGAACCTACCCAAACTTAAAAGGCAAACTTTTCACCGTCCACATCTTGCTATAGTGCAAGAGCAGCGCGACGTGAAACAACAAGCTCCCACCAGTGCGTGTCCAAGGCCAGCTGCGGCAGATTGGAGATGATCGCAAGCTCTTGGTCACCCACCCCATTAAGAGCTGGGATCTCTAGCCTCTCCTTCAATGCCGTGGGTGCTGTTCCTGCTTTGGCAGGTAGACTAGGAGGCAGCGACACTGTCTGCTTCCAGGTCTGGGCCACAAGAGCAGCAGTTTCCTCTTCCTGGTTCTCTGGGTGTTCTTGAGCCACCAGCTAATAAGTCTATCTGCCTTCCTGGAGAGACCATGTGAAGAGGCTCTGAGTCCCTGGAGAAGTGGAGAGGGCCCAGCAGAGCTGGCCTTCCCATAGCTTCACCACTGAAGTAGGTGACTGAATGCAGCTACCTTGGGCCCTCCAGACCAGCCAACAGCCAGCTACTTCCCACTGAAGGCCCCTGGCCCAGGCCACATGGAGCAACCAGGCAGCTGAGCCCTGCCTGAGCTCCTGAGCCACAGCCTGGCGAGGAAAGGCTTTCCAAAGGAATGGTAGTCAAGATGGGATGTAAAGGAAGGAGTTAACTGGGAGGAGAAAGCAGATTCTAAGCAGAGAAGATGGCATGTGCAAAGGCCCTGGGGGCAGATAGAAGAGGGTGAGACAGGCCGCAGAAAGTTCCTGGAGGCTGATCTGCAAGGGGGAACATGGAAAGAGATAGGGCTCGGGTGGCTGATGGGGCCAGAGCACCCGTAACTTTACTGACCACACACAGGATTCTGTTACTTATCCTGAGAGCAACAGGAAAGTCATGGAAGGGATTTCAGTGACAGCGCAGCACATGTGTTTGGCTTTTGAAATGATTACTGAGATCCACTTTCCAACAAGTATCTTGATAGCTGCTAAATGAAGGGCATCTTGTCTACATCAAAATCCTTGTAAAGCCCAGAGCACCCTACTACTGCTCTCCTCGGGCTGGCTAAGTAACAGGTTCCGAAGGCGCAAGCCCTTCCATCCCTGCTGCCATGGTCAAGTCCCCTATGCACCAGTCTCCCTTTGGTCTATTTTCTTCAGAGTAAAGGACACAAGGGGTGGGGTGGAGACACCGTACAGGGGAGAAGCCTGGCCGTACAAACTCAGTCAGCTGACTGAGGTGAACGTCAACAGTGAAAGGACATGTTGGCAGGAGGCACCGTGATGACATGATGTGATGAGACGGGGACTCCAGCTCTATGGTCTTCCTTCCAAAAACCACCCCCCCACTCCCACCGTAACAAAACCAGCAGACAAACCCACACTGAGGGACAACCTACAAATCACTGGACCAGCACCCCTCAAAACTCATGGTCATCAAAGACAAGGTACGTCAGAGAAGCCATCACAGCCCGGAGGAAGCTAAGGTCACGGACAACTAAATGTCTATGGGATTCTGGGAGGATCCTGAAGCAGAAACAGGACAGAAGGCAAACACTGGGACATAGGAATAAAGCGGAGACTCCAGCTAACGCTGCAGCGACACTGGGTTGAGATGATGAATGAATTCTAGCACAGCCACCACACCGGTAGGAACCACGAATAACAAGGGGAGCGGATCTCTCTGCACTATCTTCACAATTTTTCGGTAAACTACAACAGCTATGATTTTTTAAAGTCAGATGCCCAGGCCCCTTCTCGAGTGTTTCTGACCTGAATGGGCCACAGATGGTTTCAGAGGCTCACAGGGTTCCAGCAGGGTGGGTGGCCTGCTCTGTACACTGGACCTCCGCAGTCTAGGCCTGGAGGGAAAACGCAGTCTCTCCGGGATGGGCCGGCAAGCCAGCTCCCTACCCCTTGAATCCTGCTTTCCAAGTCGCAGCCTACGTTATGTGGTTGCGTCCAGTTGCAAGGGAGGCTGGGACAGAAAGCATCTGGCATTTCCTACTACCCTCTCACAGGATAGAAAATTCCCTGAGCAGCAGAGGGCTGGGTGGCCCAATTAGTGCTGAGCGTCCACCACAACCCTGTCGGAGGTGGCCCGTCCACTTGTCTTTGTTCAGTTCTTTTCCAAGCCTGTCCAGCGTGTGAGAGCGCAGCGGTTGGAAAGGGATCGGGCCAGGTTCGGGGCAGATGGCCCTCCAGCGCCCTTCCTGCACCCTTCTGCGATGCCGCACATCCCCTCCCCACCCCATCACTAGCAAGGGCACTGCCCGGGATTTGCAGCAGGGTCCGAGTGTGGGCCCCTGGCTACACGCCTGAACAAAACCAACACCCTGCGAGCGGGAAAGGAGAATGGATGTCAGGGGTCAAACAACTGCGTCGCTGACACGAATCACCTCCGAGGTAAATTCCTGTATGTCACCCAGCTCAGCGGCAATTTGCTCACCTGCCCATGGCTGAGACTCAGTTTCTTCATTCAACAAGGCGGTGTCATGTGTGCACAAGGTCACCGGGCGGGCGGATGAGAGGATGCGTTCGCAGCCCCGCCACAGGAGGTTGTCAACAAAAATGGGTTCCTCTGGTGCTCAGGAAGATGCTCCACCGTCAGTGGGACACACATTTAGTCCCTGAACGCGGAACGTCCCCCTGGAGCCTCTCTGCTCCTCCACCAACCAATTCCGTTGCCCCCAAACTGGGACACGTTGGAACTACTTCCAGCCCCGCCCTAGCCAGGGAGTCTGGGCTACACAGAAATGCTGCTCCATCCCCACACCACAGGCGCGACATCACCTTGGGGTGACTCACTCTCATGCGGCCAACGGCTCCAAGGGAGCGCAGGACTCACCGCACTGGAGGAAGAGGGGAGCCCTGGCCCTGCCACCCTGAGCTGCTGCGGTGGCGACAGCGAGCCTGCTCACGCACCGTCCACTTGGCTGTTCCTTCGCCAGTCACGCCCTCGCTCACTTGGCCGCATGGGCTCCCAGCTGCCCTTGAGCCGGCGGCGCGCAGGGAGGACGGGACACACGGCAGCTGGCAAGCTGAGTCTGCGTGGTAAGTTCAAGCCTCTTTTTTTTAGCCATCGCTGGCATTTTGCAGCTCTCCCAGCTGGTGTGAAACAAACTCAACCTCCTTCACGACGTCTTCCTTTCTGCCCACACAACCCAAGAGGCCCCGGCCGATGGCGTTCGGCTTTCCCAACTACAAATCACCTTTCGGTCATACCCAAGAACTCATGGAAAGCCAAGGAAGGTTCTTGAGAAAGCGCTGTACTAACAGAGGTTTTGAGTGGAAACATGTTGTCAGTGACACCACCAGGGTTGAATTTCACACCAGAGAAAGGAAGCACCAACTTTAACCTCAAAACAAGGAAGACTGCAATTGTGTGTGTGTGTGTGTGTCTCTCTCTCTCTCACACACACACACACACAGAGAGAGAGAGAGAAATCCCTCAGCCTGGGGACGCGTGAGGGACCTGACCAAGGAGAGAGACGCCAAGGCGAGCCCCAGGCCGGCCAGGAGCTGCGTTTCCAAGGAACCGGAGGGGGCGGGGGAGAGAACCCCCGAGACAAGCGGCGGGCACAGGCCGGGAGGAAGTGGCTCTGGGCCGTCGACCTCACAGCAGCTGAGCAGCAGCAACCCAGTCACACAGGCCCTGAGCTATTTTCAACCTTGGGGTTTTCACCCCATGTCCCCAAGTGCTCTGGGCAGCGTGGCTCCCACACGAAAGCACCAAGGCTCTGGAGTCACGGCGGCACAGAAAAGCAGCGGTCACGGCAGAAACCCAGGCACCAGCACCGCAGTCTGGGCCCGTCTCCTGCGCCCAGAGGGGCTCCCGGCGCCCTGGGCGGCTGTGACAAGCGACCACAAAGCGACGGCGCTGCAGTCCAGGCGGCACAGGGGCTGCTTTCTTCTGAGGCCACAGGCCAGACTCCGTCTCCGGGGCCCTCGCGGCTTCCAGACAGACCCACAGACCCGGGCCTGGGGCTCCCGCCCCTCCTCCGGGTCCAACTCAGACCCTCCCGCGGCCCCCTCACAAGGCCCCTGTGGCGAGGGAGACCCGCCCTCAGGACGCCGCCCCCGCAGGCCTGCCACGGGAGGCCCCGCGCGCGGGGTCCTCTGGCACCGGGGGACGGACACCGCGGGGCTCCCGCCTCCGCCCGCCCCAAGTTCACCACACCGAGGCCCTCAGGGGCCCCCGGGAGGCGTCCCGGGACTCCGGGGCTGCGGCCGCCGCCTCCTGGGCACGGGCGGGGCACACGCAGCGACAGGCCCTGGCGGCCCCGCGCTGAGCCAGCCCGGTAGGTGCCCCGGGCGCCCGCCCCGCCCCTCAGGCGCACGGCGGCCTCAACCGCCCAGGCCACGCGGGGCCGCCGGGTGTCGTGCGGCGCCCCGAGGACGCCGGGCTCCGCGGCCCGCTGTGCCGGGAGGACGAGGCGTAGAGAGGCGGTGGCGGCCCTCGCGCCCCAGGCCCGGCCTCCCGCGGGCACGGCCCCGCCTGAGCCAGCCCGCGCGCCCGCCCGCCCTTCGCCCGCGCCCCCGCCGCGCCCCCGCCGCGCGAGGCCCGCGCTGCCTCACCTGGGCTCCGCGGCGCGGCTTCCGGGGCCCACCCCGCCGAGGCGGCCCCACGCGCCCCGGCCGCGGCCGCACAGCCTCGCTCCGCCCGGCTTCAGCGGGCCCGGCGCGCAACGTGCCCCAGGAAAGTTCCAGAAAGGGAGCCGTTGCCGCCCGTTGCCGCCACTCGGCTGAGGGACTCATCTCGCGCGCACGCGGCGCCTGCTGGGCGGGACCCGGCCCGTTGCGGCGTGGCCACGCCCCCTGCGCCGTGACGTCAGGCGCAGCCCGCTCACCCGCCCTCCTGTCGCGTGGAGCGCGGGTCCTCGCTCCCTCGAGGGCGCAGGCGCGGGCGTCCACGCCGTTTCTCTGTCCGCGCGCGTCCTCGGCGCTCTCCCGGGACGGATGTGTGGGAGACCCGTGGGCTCGGGCGCGACTCGGCAGGCCCCACCTCCCCCGGGGGTGTTGGGGCGGGGCCCCGCGGAGGGGTCTGCCGGGCATCCCCGGTTCCCGTGTAGCTGTCCCCCCGGGGCATCCTGTGCTTTGCGCCCCAAGACCTGCGGATCAGCCCCATCTGCCACCCAGGGGCACCGGACCCAAGTCCAGGCCCCTGGTCAAGAGGCCTCCCGCAGCCGCCTCTCCGTCCTCTGAGCCCCCAGTGTCCGTGCCTCCCCCTGGCACATCGGTCGAGGCCTGTTTGCTGCCCGGATGCTGTGTGCCCGGCATTTAGTAGTGAGCAGGGCGGACACTGTCCCTCCCTTCATGGAGGTACATGTCCACTGCAGGATCTCTCCCCCTTGGCGTCGTGAGGGGCTGGATGATTCTGGTTGGGAGGGAGCTGGACTGTGCCCACAGCCCCTGCCCCACCTGCTTCCCTAACTTGACACCCCGACATGCCTCCACCTATTGCCAAGAGTCCCCAGAGGGGTAGGACCGCCCCTGTTTGCAAGCCATTCACTTGTAAAGAGAATGTGGACACTAGTTAAATAATGCCAGGAGAAATGTCTAACTACACCCACTGTGTCCTTACCAGACCCCGATTCCTCTAGCCCCGGCTGTGGGCACTGCTCCAGCTCACACTTGAAAAGGCCTGCCCTGTCCCCTCTTGGCAGGTGTGGAGAGGCTGAGAAGAGAGGAATGTTGACACCTGCAGACTCAGGGCACTGCCCCCCCAAGAACTCAGAGCCTCCTGAAAGAGGGTCTCTTTCAGGCTCCATTGCCCATCGGTGCCTGCCTCCTGCCCGCCCTGGGAGAATAGACACAGCAAAGGTACCTCCACCAGCCAGAAGGTCCCCCAGGCCTGAGACCTGACAGTGTCATCAAGAGGAAAAGAGGGAAACCAAATCCAACCACTGGCTCTTCCACTCTTGAGAGCTGCCACCGGCTTCCTGGCTGAGTGGGCACAAGCATGGGCTCCCTAAACAAGCTGTCCTAGGAGTGGCTGAGAACAAGGCTGTCTAGGCACTGGGGTGCACTGGCCACTCTTCCCTGCAGCTGCACCCCCTAAATGTGAGCCCCACTCCCCTTTACAGATTGCCTGACCTCACACAAGTGATTTGGCTTCCTGGGCCTCCGTTTCTCTGTCTGCAGAGTGGAGAGAATGAGAGCCCCTCCCTCACAGGGTGTTACCTTGACCAGATGAGCGTCCCCCAAGAGCCCAAGGGAGCCACCAGCAAACCGACTTCAAGGAAAAGACTTGCGAGAGGACTGATCTCTTTGGTGTGCATGGGGCTAAACAGAGGTTGGCAGACATCTCTGTAAAGCTAGCCATCGAGGACCAGATAGTAGATGTTGAGAGCCATGCTGTCTCTGTTACAATTACTCATCTCTGTCCCATAGCACCAAAGTAACCACAAACAGCATGTAAACAAACAGGCGTGACTGGGTTTCAATAAAACTTTATTTACAACATGCAGTGGGCAGATGTGCGAGATGTGCTGGCCTCCGCCCGGCCTCAGCAAAAACAATATGGAAATCCTGGCTGTTAAAAGCAGATCCTGAAGAGACAAGGGGAGAGGGTAGTTATTGGAACCCAGGAACAAGGGACACAGGAAGATGCAGGGAAAAAACTGGGGTGCAAACCCCCGGACCTCGATCTCCTCCCTCCACTGACTTCCTACCAGGACTCCATTGCCTGAGCCCATCTGGAAAGCTGAGGGCAGAGACCTGTGTATGGTCCATAGGGCCACCTCCCGGGAAGCAAAGGGGGTGGATATTGGAGTGACGGAAGGCAGCCTACATGACAATTTTGGAAGCATGTCTGCTCAGGCCCATGCAGTGCTGTTCAGCCACCCCGTAGAGAGGCCACTTTGGAGATCCCTGGGCTCCCTCGGTCACACCCAATAAGCAGTCTCCCAAGATGTTGCCCATATCACCTTCCCCCAGGGAGACACCATGCCAAACCTCTACCTCGGTGCTGAACTGGCTCTCCCACCATCACTGTCCCTAGAATCGTCCAGCAGCTGACCTTTAGCCTCGCTGTGTGCCAGACACTTGTGGAAGCTCTTGACGTGGAATGACCTCGCTTAATCCTCACAACAGCCCCGTGAGGACAGTTGATCCTCCAGCACCATGTGAAGTGGGGTGATGCATCCCAAAGCCAAGGAGACCCACATTCCGAGAAGGGGCGTCACCTCCCCCGAGTGGGGTCTCGCAGCTAACCAGCAACCCAGCCAACATTTGAACCCAGGTCTCACTGACTTCTCAGCCCATACATTCCCCCTTTGCATCAGCACACGCTGGACCAGGGTCAGAATCCAGCTGCTTTTCCCAGCCCGTTTCCCCTTCCCCCTCTCTGCAAACACCACCCTTGCCGCCCCTCCAGCCTGCTGTGGACCCCTAAGCCCCTGCCTCTGTGCTGTGACCTTGTCTGACCCAGTGACACAACAGCCCCGCCAATCTTGCAGTTGAAATATTCTGAAATGTACAGTAGAGCAGGCCATCTGCTTCCGCACGCCTTACCTCCTGTCCTGCCGGGGCTCCAGCAAACCAGCAAAGACACCCAAGCAACAGTCACTTTATTTCTGGGCTCAGGATTTCTAACTGGCCTGGATTGCTCAATGCCTCGTGTCAGACAGAGGGAGCAGGAAGAGAGGCAGAAGAGAGGCTTGGCAGATGCTGCAGGAAGGGAAATGCGTGGGGAGACGACATCTGGGGCTGCTCAAGACACTGATTTCCCCTCAAAGCGCTTGTGTTTGTCTGGGTGATCTTTATATTTTTAAGATTCTTTATTCTTTCTAACTCCCTCTGGCCCTTAAATAGATGACGGCGAGGGTGATTGCCAAGACCAGGCGCCTGATTTCTGAGCGTGATTCTTATTCTGGGCTCACCTCAGAAATGTCCCCCCTGGCAAAACACAGGTCCATGACAAACGTCATTCCAAAGAGATCAACTCCTGTATTTTCACGTTTTGAGAACCACGAGGTATCTTCCCGCAGCAAAGCCCTGAAGTTGTAAAAGCCTCGTCCTCCCCCAGGCCCCACCACCCACCCACTCTCATGTCCCTCAGTGCTCGGGGGAGGGCAGCACCTGCCCCTCCTTTGCTGGCTCCCTGGTCTTTGTCCTACTGTGCTCACTCAGCTCCGGCATCACAGTCCACCAGGAGGGAGGCGCCAGCGCAAACCGAGCCCCCAGCAGCGACAGTCATCTCTGCGAGATGGGATGGTGGAGAGAAGTCCCCAAACGCGCTCAGGACGACCCTGCAGCCAGACCGCTCCAGCACCTCTCGCCTCTCAGGCGCCCCGTCCTTCCCTCGGGTTTGCCCTTTGGGGCGGCGGGGTGGGGAGTGAGGCGGGACTGATATGTGGGAGGCAGCACTGGATGTGCCTTTTCCCAGAGCTCTGCCATCCTGCGGGCCTGCAGATCCTCATGTCCCACAGCGGCCTCTTCACCACCTGCTGCCGTCCCCACCGGAGCCCAGTGAAGCCACCTGCACTCACCGGTCACCCGACCAGCAAAGCCTAGCCAAGCCCCGACAGCCAGGCACCTCCGTGGGTGGTGCAGTCAGTGGGCGCCAGGCTGGTGGGCCTGCCCTGGCACCCAAGACAGGAAAGTGCATTACAAATACTTAGCTGCTTGTATAGCGACGCCAGGGTTAGCATGGGTATTTTAGAATCATACAATATCAACCGAAAGATATTTATAAAGTCAAATAATTATAATGTAGGGCAATCAAGTAATTAATGATTACTAATTATTAAATAATGACAATTATCTACAGTAAATATAATTATAATCACAAATAAAAATTAATAACATGTCATGATCGTGACGTTTTCTCACGTGATACGCGTAAACGCCCTTGCTTCAGTGCTCACGGCGGGTCCTCACCCCTGTTTATGGGGAAGGAGACAAAGTTAAAGTGATTTCCTCAAGGACACACGTGTGGCTGGTGAGCCTGAGCTGGGCCCTGAACGGGGGTCTCTGTGTGTCTGAAGTTTCACCCCTCGCCCCCCATTCCCCCTCACAGTAGCCATGACAGTCCTTTATGGATTGGGCTCTGCTGCCTGCACCCCACACGCCCCTTCAGCTCCCTGTCCCGGTGCACGCCAGCGTCTTCTGGCAGCCACCCTGCGTGAGGGGCTGCGGCTGCTCTGGGCTCCAGAGACACTGGCCCTGCACTGGGGCAGGCTGGGAGGCGTTGCTAATGACCGCCCCAGGAGTTGCCTCCAGCAGCAGGCAAAGGAGGGAGACCCAGCCTCCCTCACCCCCGGATCCTGTGCCCTGCCTGGTCCCACAGGGCCCTCCATCCCTTCTCCCCGACAGCCCTTCCTGAGACCACCACCTTGTTTCTGGGGGATGAACAGGGGGTCGTATCCAAGCCAGACCCACACAGCTTCTCAGCAATGATTGCTCCTGAGAATGAGCTGTGGGTCGTCTGCCAGCATTGTTCTAAGTCACTGTCATGTGTCAACTTGCTTCACCCTACAAGCCTCCTGCAGACAGGGAGACAGGCATGAGGACTTTACCACCTGCCCCCTCTCACTCAGCCCGGGGGGCACTGCTGGAGGCTCCACCTGGACATCCCTTGCCCCACAAACCAAAGCCAGTGGCGTGATATTTTCTTATATCTCTTGTCCTCACAATGAAATTTTTGGCAGAGCCTTGGAATTGGAGGTGACAAAAGAGCAAATGAGCAAAAGGATGGAAGGGAACAGAACACCCCAAGCAAGGCTGTCCCCTGGGAGCCAAAGTTACCCTAACTGAGAAGCTCCCTATACTGCCCCATCATGCCCACCGGGGAGGGGTTTCTTTTCACACAAGAATCAGCTGGAGGATGGTCAGTCGTCTCAAGAGAAGGGCTGTGTTCTGGAGAAGATAAGCATCCAGCATCACGCCCTCAAGATGCAGGAGAGGGACATGCACCTGCCTGGGGTTCAGGGGATGGGCAGAAAGAAATCAGGCCTTCCAAGAAGAGGATGGATTAGGAAAAAATAAATAGCATGAGTCACAAAGAAGGTGCTTCTGGGGCCCTGTGGCAGCATTCAAAAGTGTCTGTAAATTCCTTCACACCCCTGTCACCATGAGGTGGGGTCTCTGGCCCTCCTCCTGAGTCCAGGCGCCTTAGTCCACACTCTTGGACTAAGAGGGTGGCAGTGTTGCCCAATGTCGCTGGGGGCTGGGTCACAGTCACCCCACTGCCCTTCTGACCACTGGGTGCCCCATGGCCGCTGTGTTTTAAGGAAGCCAGAGCTCCATGGCGGGGCCAAGTGCCCACGTTCCAGATGACAGTCCTGCCTGTGCCTGGCCTCCCCACTCTCCCTGCCCAGGCGCCACACCTGTGGATGAGAAACCTGTGGAAGATTCCACTCCCCCCACCCCACTGCCACATTCGTTCACCGCCAGCCGTTCCCAAGCAAGAGCCTGGACATCATGGACCAGAGAAAAGTAACGCCGTGGTGCTAAGTTCTAACCTGCAAAACCCACAAGCCAAATAAGAGGTTTCTGGCCCACTAAGTTTCAGGGCAGCTGGTTATACAAGAAGAGATGAGAGAATCGTCCAGACTGAAAGAAGCAGAAAGAAAATGCAGGCTCGCCTCTCTTCTCGGATTTTCTAGATGCTGGAGGTATTACGGAAGCGTTTGTCCCTGAATTCCCCTCCTCAGTCGGCCCTCTCCCTTTGAGGTGGCTGTGTAAAGTTGAGCGCAGGAGGGATTTATCAACAGTCTGCACAAGAGTGCTGAACTCTGGGGAGCAGCAGATTTTATTTACCCGCACATTTGGCCCCAAGCCCCCAGCACAGCAAAGGGCTTGCTTATCCACACCATCCCTGGCTGCATGCTGGGGATGGGCATGAGTGACTGCAAGATGGCAGCTGTGCTTTCCCTGGGAGCAGCCGGCCGGGCAGCCTCCCCTTCTGAGAAAGTTCAGATTGAGCTGCCCCTGCCCCTGGGCTAGCAGCCCCCAGTCTGCCAAGCGGAGCAAAAATAAGAACAGTCCAGTCCTCCCAAGCCTGCAGGCCCTGCCAGCCTGGGGAGAGGGTAGGCACTGTCGTGTGGATGGGTGGAAGGGCGGGAGTCGGCCCCCCTGCAGCTGATCAGCTCAGCCTCGCTTATAAATGACACGTCACCCAGGACACACACACACACCCCCATCGCGTGTGGACGAGCAGACCTGCGTGTCCCTCCTCTGAACCATTTCCAGCAGCTTCCAGAACTGTGCCACCAACACCAGCCTCCAGCTTTTCCCACACGCACCCCCAACCTCCACCAATCGGCTCAAGGGGCCCCGGGCTCTCGCAAAAGCAATGCCCTGGAAGCCACATGTCTCCACACCTTTCCGCTTTTGTTCTGGGGGTGCGTGAAAAATCAGCAAAAAAATTGCTTCAAACCACAGTGCAGTATCGCTGCATTTGAAATCCCCTTTTAAAGGTTCTAGCATCAGGTGAAAAGGATGAAATATTTGACTGGGACTCAAAGAAAGACAGTGCACACGTGAACTTTTTAAAAGGCATTTATTTTGGGGCCTCTCCGGTGGCGCAAGGGGTTAAGTCACAGCACTATGAAGCTCTGCGCAGCCACTGCAGCACGAGTTCGATCCCCGGCCAGGGAGCTGACCCACAGGATGCAGCAGACCTCTCCTGTCTCCCCACTGCTCCCCTCAGCAGCGGATTTCAGTGGATCCACCTGTTTTGCTTCCCACTCTGTCTCTGGGGAATCTTCTTACCCCCTGTGCCTCTGGCCTGCACCCCAGCTCTTATATGCATAAATAAATAAATCTTTAAAAAGGCATTTATTTTAACAAAGAATAAAAAGATTGATATATCTTTCCAGTGGATACAAAAATAAATATTCATTGATCATATGAAAGACGTATGCCTTAGAGCCATTTGAGCAGGAGACGAGAATTTCAGAAGACAGGTCTTGTGTCCTTTAAATGTACCGCCTGCTTCGTGGGCCCAAGGAAACGGCCGCTGTGGCTGGAGTTTCCCGAGTCCCCGCGAGTCCAAGCACTTGGGGAGGCACCTTGTGAGGCAGTCCCGGGGCTGTGCCTACATCAGCGCGCAGCAGCAGCAGCAGCAGCAGCAGTAGCGACAGGGAGAATGAGTGGGCCCCGCAGGCATTTCTGGTGTTCGTTCAGACACTCAGGGTTTCTAAGATGCCAGGTTGGCTGAGCTGGGGCAAGCTTAGCCCCCAAGTCCCCAGCCTGGCTCCCTCCTCACAGGGTGATGGTGGCCAGGCGAAGCCCCTGCCTGTCCTTGCGTGTGAGACTCCAAGTAGGGGTGGTGGTGAGCAGGCTGGGTTAGAAAGAGAAAAGACGCCCCCGCCCCTCCCCAGGATACAGCAGGCCCTTCTCCAGACCCCAAATCCACCTGATGTCTACACCGACTGGCACAGCCAAATCAACAGGCCCAGCACAGGCGGGGAGGGGGACCCCCAAGGCAGTGGACACACACACGCTGCCAGTCTGGGAGTCTCTGGGCATCACCAGGGTGCACAGACTTGAATAAGAGTCACCCCATTACAACAAATACAGGTTTTTCTCAGAAAAAAAATGTTCAAGTGCTTTTCAACCATGGAAGTGATGGTAAAATGGTCTGGAGGTGACTGCGCCCCACTGGGAGGCCTGTGGGATGGGGGTCTGCCCGGCCCTTACAAGTGAACTCCCTCCTCGTCTCCTACCGGCTGTCTTTGATCAGTGTCACAATTTAGGGTAAACCCCTCGTGGCAGGAGCCGCACACTGACATGCTAGTAAAGGGGTAAGTTCCTGCCGGATGATCATGGGGCTTCTCCAGGGACCGCCCCCCAGGGAATCCCGCTCTCTGCTGGGCCAGGCAGTGCGGTGTGGGGTGGGGCCACCCTAAAGCTGAGGAGTCCCAAGGAGTCTGAGGGGAACCATTCTCCCTGCCACCATCCACCCCAGGCCCAGGGGTCGACAGAAGCCAGCATGACTCACCCCACTCCCCAGTCCGCCGCCCCCGCCCACAACTCAACACGCCCGGCGGCAGGACGGGCTGGCTGGACGCAAGAATCACCCAAATGCCCGCACAGTCACAGCTATTTCTTGTCACTTGTGGTTTATATCCTGCCCACTTTAAAAATCAAGAGATTTCAAGCAGTTTACGATAGAATAATTAAAGTACAAATATTTCTATAAGATTCAAAATTAAAAAGAAAAGAGAGGTCTCGCTGGCAATTTAATAACTGAAATGAAAACAGTCCCATTTTCCTCTAAGTTTCCCGGCAGCGAAGCCAGAGGGGATGTTTTCAGCATCTGACACGAAATGGCGCCAGCTCGCCTGGCCACGGGCTGTTCCCCGGCGCTGGGCACCCATCCTTCCAACAAGGCAGGACTTCTGCTTCCACGGACACAAGGGAGCTGGGCTCTTAGGTCGTCTTAACTCTCATTAACATGTTTCAAGATAGAAAGGCATTTTGCATCAATCGACAGGCCCACAGCTAACAGGCCCACAGCTAAACCAGCTCTGGGCCCACAACTCGATAATAGACCCCACGTCTCTGTACGGGAAGCAGCAGCTTGCTAGCAACATTGAACGCTGAGTCTCTGGAAGTCTCAATGACCCCAGAGCGCTGACAGCAACACAGGGATGGACCGTAACTTGGGGAAATGCTCGAAATGGACCTTTCCTCTGGGGTGATCCTGCCAGCGGTCAGACGGGCTGGTGTGCATTTGCATGTCCACGGCAGAAGCGTACCCCTTGCTTCTGAAGTCAGGTGCTCGGAGCTGCCCTTCCGACATCGAGAGCAGAGGAAGGCACCGGCCCAGGCAGGAGGGGGCCGCGCCCGGAAGCCATTGCAACAGTGACTGTGATGAAGCACGCGAGACGCCGGCAGGGAGGGTGCCTGAGGCTCTTAGACTGTGATCTGTTGGTTTTCTCTGAAGAAGGGTCTCTGGTGTGAGGCGCAGACGTCGGGGAACACCCGGAAGACCTGGTCTGCCTGGAGCTCCTCGGACTGCAGGAGGGCGCCGGCCCCGCAGCCCTTTCCAGCTTCTTCCACCAGCTGCCGCACGTACAGCTGCTCCACCTAATAGGGTGTGCACGTGGTCAGGGGGGAGAGGAGGGCGGTGGGGCTTCCTTGGAGCCTAGCCAGGTTCTCTGACTCCCCCGACCCAAAGCGGCACTCAGAGCCGCCACGCAAGCCCGCAGCAGAGAAACCCGGACGAGGCAGATGCAAGAGAGGGCGAGCAGTGTTCCTGCAAAGACGCCCGGCCAGGTACGTTCTCCCAGCCTGGCCCACCAGTGTCCAGATTCCACCATTAGTTTCATTCCTTTGACTAAAGTGAAATAAGGGCCCTTAAAGCCTAAATCTGTCACTAAGAACTTAAGGAAACTGAATAGGTGGCATTCTTCTTAAAAAAAAAAAAAAAAAGTCAAACAAAAAAGGGAAAAAACCACAAAGCCGATGGGGACCCTGGAGCATGAGAAGTGGTTCAAAGGCGGCAAGAATCTACTTCTCCCCCACCCACGCCACCCCCGTGACGGTCTGGCCCAGGCCTGCCTCTGCACGCAGGTGGAGCACCGCAGTCCTTGCTGCACATTCTCCAGCCCAAGGATGAAACAGGTCCTGAGGTGGGGACCAGGAGCTCTGCTCCAGGTGCTGAAGCTGCCCACTCTTACCTGCACGAGGATGAGCTTGGAGCGCAAAGGAGTCATGTCTGGAAACTCTTCCCCGAAGCACAGCACCACCCTGCTGTCAGGGAGCCGGCCCTGGCTGCTGTAGAACTGCTGGAGCTCTGGAAGACATGGGAGCAGCTGCCACTCGGGTCTCACCATCCCTCTCTTCACACGCGCGCGCACACAGGACACCACCCGCCCTCTCGGGGCCTCCTCCAGGAAGCCTCCTCAAATCCGTCAGGCCAGTGGCTAGAGAGATCTGACATGGGCTCCAGGCCACTACCTTTACTGAGAGGAACGGGAGCTCTGGGGCACAAGAAGGGAGCAGACGCACAGCACTGGAGGGGGTGAGGCCACTTTCAACATCCTGCCCTTCTCGGGGGCACCGACCAGGGTGGGGTCCTGATCAAGTGTCCAAAGGCTGGTTCTGAAGAGCGGTGTGCGAGGGGAGCACAGCTCCAAGTGCATGCACAGTCCCAGGGCCCTGCCTGGGGTGGCCTGCCTGCATTTCCAGCCACCCCACCCCGGGCACAGGCACTATCCTCCACAGAGCTGCCCTTATTCCCCTGACAGCCAACAGTCACAGAGAAAGGCAGGGGCTCGGCACCTCATTTTATAAGCGGGGAGGTCACGACACAAGAGATGTCCCCGGGATCAGGGAAGGAGGGCACAGCAGGATCCCAACACCTCCCCCACCCTAGGCCACACCTAGAGGGCTCAGGCAGGAAGGAGGGTGGCCACTAAGCAGGGGCAGCAGGCGATGGGCAGCTACCTCGGAGGAACTGGTTGGTGTCGAAGACCTTGGCCACCTCGTCCCGCTCCAGCTTGTTAGGCCGGTCCCTGCACACCACGGCGTTACCGCTGCAGAACACGCGGCCCTGGCACAGCCGCTTGATCAGCACGCCCTGCCGGCTGCTGTGCAGCAGCACCCCACGCTCCAGGTGCCCGAACAGCTTCCGCGTCACCTGCCTCTGCCGCTCGCTGGGGATGGTGTCAGCCGGCGGGAAGCGCACCAGCTCCAGGCCCTCAGACCCCAGCAGCTTGCCACTGGGCAGGCCTGGCTGACTGGGGGACAGGCGGCAGCCCTCGGGGCAGGTGGTGGTGGTCTGGCCCACCAGCTTGCCCCCATAGTAGAAGGTGATGACCATCTGGGAGAAGGCTGCAGGAAAGAGAGCGGTGGGTTGGCAGCTGCGGGAGGGGGGATGTCCCCAGCCCCTCCTGCCCACAGTCCTTTCCTCCAGGAGAGAGGGTGCCTAGCTTTGTGTGCCTGGACCCCTTAGGTGTTCTGGAGAACTTCACACACCCCTTCTGGAAATCAAGTGTGCAAATACACGAACAACTGAGGAACCAAGGATTCCCAGCGTGAAAGGCCACTGTGGGTCTCCGCGCCTCCAGGGAAGGGCGCCGACGGACGCAGCAGTTTGCAGATCCCATGGGAGTAAGCCTGGCGCCCCGGGCCCCTCCAGGGGGCTTGTGCTGGGCACCACCCGCACGACCATTGGGCAGCCGTGGGGGTGCCGTGACCTCAGCTTCACTGAGCCCCCACCCCAGCCCTGGCCCTGGCCCTGGCTCTGCATCGGTCAGACTGCAAGACTCCCGCTGATGGCCACAGGCCCGCTCTGCGCGGCAGTTAACAGCACTCTGGGAAGGTGCGGGGTGGCAGGTGCGCTGCCTGCCTCACTGACCCGACACTGGGGGACACCGAGGCCCATGGGGCCGCCCAGTAGAGGTGAGCAGCAGCGCCCACATCTGACCCCGCAGCTGTCATGGCCGCTCTCCACCCTCCCACTCTCCCTTAACATTTGCACGACCTTGTGACTCCACACGTCCCACCTCCCCCACTCCCGGCACCTTGGACTTCGTCCCACATGAAGGAAGAGCTCCAGTCGCCCCTTGACCCCATCCTGGCCGAGGCCTTATCTCCTATAAGGGCCGGGCAGGGTGGCTGCATGGCCACAGGAAGGCTCTGGCTCAGAGCAGGGTCGAGCTGGGAGGGGCTAGGCCGTGGCCCACTGACTCCAGGGCAGAGTGAGACCAGGAAGGAGAAACACATCAGGTCAGTCCTCCCCGTTCAACGGGCCCACGGCCACCCTGCCCTGCAGGCCCTCGAGGCCGGCCAGTGAGTAGCTGGTCTGACCATGGGAGTGGCCCAGAAAAGATGCCGCCTGACACGTCATCCCAGCTGAACAACCCGGCAGGCAGCTTCAGGGTTCCAGGCCTCAGTTTCCCCACCTGCAAGTGGCAAAAACAGCGGCCACCTGCTGGGTGGATGCGAGGACTGCAGGAGCTGGGGTGTTGGCTCGGAACGGGAGCCCTGTCTGAGCAGATACTAAGTGAACTGGGGTAACAGGACAAGATGAGTGGCACGGAGACGCCTCCTGGAGTGGTAACTTGCAGGGCCTGGCCTACCCCGTCCCGTCCTGCAGCCCTAGTAGCACATTTAATGCTCACAACCACCCCTGGCGGCAGAGACTACCAGGTAAGGAAACCCCGGCAAAGGCAGGCAGTGCACCTGCACTCGACGGCACACGGCTAGGTGGGAAGTGGCTGTCCCCCGCCGGCAGGCCGCCCTGCTCCCGTGTGCCTGAGCATGAGCCACACCGTCAGCCCAAGCACTGCCCTTCACCCCAATCATCGGACACGGCCCAGGGCACAGCTGACGCCGCCGTGGCATTTGTGAATCCACCCGCGCAGCGCAGTGCCATTAACTCGGGTTCGTCGCCAGAGTTTCACATGGGAAGGTCTCTCTAGAAAAACGGGAGGATGGAGCCTGGCTGGACTTACAAGGCCACAGAGCCCCAGCGCCCTGAGGCCAGAGGGCCACATCTCTACTTTGCCACAACCCCTGCGCCTCCCCGTCGCCGCTCCCCTGCCCCCGTTACGGTCACGTGACCGAGACCAGGGGGAAGAACAGGGTCCCCGAGAGCAACTCATTAACGAGAGGGGTGTGTGCACACTGTGTGTGGGAACTGACAGCGACAAGAAGCCCACACCTGCCAGATGTCTTAGGACTCTCTTTGCAGGAGGCTGTGGCCATGAATAGCTTCGTTCACCGTGTGCTAAGACAGCCCTGGGCTAACCCGGCAAACTTCCTCCCCCAGCCATGTCCTCTCTCACCCAGATGCCACAGCCCCATGGCCCCAGAAAGCATCAGTCAGCAGACTCCCCACGGCCCAGAGGTAAGCAGGTCAAAGGCCGAGTCCCATGGCCCTGGGCCTCCGGAGTTGGGCCTGCTGAGTACGGCTGCTGCCCAGGGCAGATGACCTCGGGCAGGCTGGAAGTTAGATGCCTGGGTGTGAACCCAGCATGCGCTTACTAGCTGTGTGACGTGGGAGCAATTTAACCTCTAAGCCTCTGTCTCCTCAATCGGCGAAGCAGACCTCCAAGGCGGTCACTCCCCAGCTGGAGGGAGAGCTGCCCCCCACCCCGACCCCACCCCCGGTCTCCAGGCACTTCTCCTGCAGCCCGGCTTCCCTCTGCACCAGGTGGCCTGGGCCCAGCCCTGATACTGCGGCCCACCCTAGTGAGTCAGGCAGGCGTTTCCACGGGCCACGGCAGCTCCTGGTTTCCTTCTCTCTGGAGATGTCATCGAGGGTCTAAAGGTAAGTTCCAGGGGCCACTGGCAGAGACCAGCCACGTCCAACAGGAATCAGACACGCCCAGCAGACGGGCCACCTCGGCCCAACACGGGCAGCAGGGACAGGAAGCTTGGGCCACGCTCAGGCCGGAACACAGCTATATGACAGCTGCCCCCCACCCCACGCTGCTCCAGGGAGACGAGACGGGCCCCAAGGCCCTCAGCCTGGACCCTGCACCCGGGGCGCACGCAGTCCTGCCACCACCGTACTGTCGCCCCCGCCGCCAGCCCACAGCCTCACCACCACCCACAGGGCTTGGGAGAGGGTCAAGGAGACCAGTGCTGGTGATGTCCATGCCCCCGCCCCGCCACGTAACACCGCGCTGAGTCTGCACGACACTCCCATGACGGCTGTCACTGGTCCCACTTTGCCCCGAGGAGCCTGAGGCTCCCAGCACGAGAGGGCAGAGCTGGGCCCTGGGCGGGCCTGGCCACGCTCTTCCTGGGATGTGGCTGGCCTGCAGAGTGCTCCCGGGGTCTGTCTGTTGGTTCTGGCCAAGAACGGGCTCCCGAGCCAAACGATGAGACGGAGGAACTGGGTTCCTCACTTCCAACACCAAGCTGTGCTCGTCCACACGGCCCTCCCCACCTTGCCCTCAGAGACGCCCATGCCCGCTGCCCACCCGAGGGCCCGTGCATACCTGAATGGTGCGGGTCGTAGGCCGCGTACCCCGCCACCAGCGGCAAGCCTGCCGGAGCAAGACAAAAGCAGGTCAGAGGCAGCAGCTGATGCGCAGGAGGTGACGCCGCCCTCCCTCTCTGAGCAGAAGCTCGCATGGCATGCTGGAGGGGCCGCTGTGGCCTCCTCAGAGCACAGCTCAGAGACCCATAAACCGACCTCAACCCAGCCGCGGTGGGAGGGACAGCAGCCTCCTCTGTCTGCGGGATGCCGGCCTCGTGGCAGCGTGGCCCTGTGGGGCTGTTTCCTTCCCACCAGGGACTACTTCTGAAACAGGGCTGGACTGTTCTCCCCGCTCATCCAGGGCTGGCCTGGCTTGCCTGGGAAGGGAGCTACGTGCCCAAGGTGCTGCTGCAGCACCAAGCTGTGCTCACTTGGCTGAGGGCTCGCCCAGGGCCCATGCTGTGGCCACCTGAGGGCACCTGAGCTGGGGTCACCTCCTGGTGTCCCACAGACACAGGGGGTGAAAAGGTCAAGGGAGGAAGCCAAGGTTGCTGCTCATGGAAGGTGACTTCAAGCAGTAAGGAGAAGTCAGCAGATGCGAATAAAGAGGTGAATAAAAGGGTGACCCCCGGGGGCAGGCGTCATTTTACAGGAAAGCAGCTAAGTCTGCACTTAGAGCTGCACTTCCCAACATGGGAGCCAGACCAGGACCTGCCTCTGGCCTGTGCTCCCTCCCCACAGGTGCCAGGGCCAGCCTCGGTGTCCAGAGAGACTGGCCGGGTCACTGATGTGGAGCCCAGGGTCTGGCAAGTGGGGCCAAGCAGCCTCCTGCTCACCACCACGGCTCCCCCGACCTCCCCAGAGGCAGGCAGTGACCCTCCTAGCGGGGCAATGTGAGCAGGGCTCAGGGCACGGGGGGTGCAGCTCTCGGGGTGGGAGCCAGTGGCACCTCTCTGGCTCAGCTGCTACCTTCAGCACAAGAGGGGTTCTGGCAGCACCACGCCCCCAGCTGCCCACCTCACCTGCGCTGGGCTGCTGTGTCCACCAGTCCTGGAGGAGCGGGTTCCGGCAGGCCTCCGGGGGGGACGGGCTCCTCTTCACAATCCCCATGTAGTCGTCCACGGAGGGCTGGGCCAAGACGAAAGGGTTACACTCAACTAAAGGCACACTGTCACCTCTCAGGAGACCAAAGGATAGTCTGCATCTGGAAAGCTCCAGCCAGTAACCCCACCAGGCTTATTGATCACGGCACGTGACCCTCCCCCGGATCCCTGACAAGTTTCCTGGCCTGGTCATTGGAAGTGCCTGTTACAAAACCCAGCGGCAGACCCTTCAGCTGCCGGGCGGGGTAGGCGCGCTCGGGGACTCTGAAGCCACTGCCCACTGCAGCAGTCTCCCTCGATGTGCTACGTCCAGGTTTTCAGTCTCTGACCCATTCCCTGAAAGAGGCAGGAGAGTCCTAGCAGGAAGCACCCTGGAGGCCGCCTTCCCAGGAGCAGGCGCCAGCCCGTTTTCTCACTCTCTCGGCTGAGTCAGCAGAAAGGCCTGGGATGTAAAACCTGACCTTGTCAGGGAGACACAGAGCCCAGAGTTCCCTCGGTCCACTGCCAGAGGTTGCCCAGAAGCCCAACAGCAGGAAAGTGCCTTTGTCTGTCTGCATTCTCCAACAGCCAAGCCATTCGCCGGGATTCTGCTGTCCCCACGCACGGGTCATTAAGAATTTCTCCAGCCCCACCACCACCTTCTCCGAGGGCTGGGTAGGATTATGGTAGCCAGACAGCAGCCAGCGTGTTAAATCCATCAAGAACTGATGGATTTAAGCTGAGGGGCTGAGCATGGAAGAAAAGGGCACCCTGGGAGGTAAGGTCGTATTCCAAAACCACCACGTTCTCCCACGGCGAGCCCACCGAGCCTCTACGTCAGGCCTGTCAGCCACAAGCCCACGCGCGATGCCAAGGGCTCTAGTTCTGCTTTCTGGCCACTGAGGGCCAAAAGCTGCAAGGAGGAGACCGTCGCCTGCCAGCCCCTGCAGCCAGGGTGGCGCCCACGTTGCACACAGCCAAGAGGCTGGGCAAGCTAACACTGCTCACAGCCTAAGAAGGCTGGGGAATCACGACGCTCTTTTAAACAACTGTGATTGAAGCTGTTTAAAATATGAAAAGTTTAGACACCGAGGAAGTCCCATGACCTGGAGCTGGCAGCCAAGTCCTGGGGGTGCATGTGGGGACCCGTGGGGAGGCTGAGCTGGTGAACCCTATCCCTGCCCCTCTGCCAGGTGGAGGCCCTCGCCTGAGGCCCCGGCAGGGCGCCAGAGGACCTGCAGGGCCCCGACGCGCCCCCTCACCTCCTTGATCAGCTCATCGATTTCAGAGCGCCCACACTCCATCTCCGTGACCTCGTTCACACAGCCGGGAGTCGTCACGCCGAGCTTGTCTGCAGAGAAGCAGACACACATGACCAGTGGCACTGGAGCTCCGCCACTGCCATCAGCCTGCTGAGCCGAGGGAAGGAAGTCAGCCAGCGTCCCCGCTGCTGAGGAGGCCGGCTTGTTCTTCCCAGGCTTCTGCAGTCATCAGATCGGCAGGGTCGGAGAGAAGCTGCCTGTGGTTGCCCACTCGGGGCAAAGAGGGCAGATGGGTCTCTCCATCTGTGGGGGGGTGTGCTCTGTGCCCAGCGTCCTACAGAGGCTCAGCCCAGCAGCGGGGGCGTGTGAAGACACTCAGACTTCCTGGCACAGGGTGTCTGCAGGTTAGGGTCTTTTTTTTTCTAAGTCAATTGACAGGAAATCTTTTTTTGGCCTTCCCAAATACACACACACACATCTGTGCACACACAGGCCACGCACACCCCTAGCCATCCAGCCAGGCCTGCCCGGAACGGCCCAAAAGCACGTGTGCGAGCACAGACAGCACTCTGGATGAGGCACACCACCCTCACCTTTTCCTGGCCAGTATTCGCCCTTGACTGTGGGAGGTGCTACAACCCAGGAAGGTGACTATTGGGGTTCACTGGTCAATGATCTATGCAATCCTCCCACACTTTCATCCTGACTGAGTTGTGATTCCATTTTGATAGAGTTAAGAATCCACATAGCCGGGGATGGGGGAAGTGGAGGGTGTGGGGAGGCAAGGCAGGGCACCCCCCAACATAGCTTGCGAACCACTGAAGTACAGAGGACCGCAAGTCCATTTAAACATTATGCAAATACAGGCTCCCCCACCCCAGCCACCCCGAGAACCTGCTGCTCCTTAAATAGCTCCTTTGCAGGTGATGCTGGCTGCTTCCGTGCTATAAACAAGTCAGGGTCACCTGCCAGTTCCGCTTCGGCTGGCTGGGCTGCCCAGCAAGCCACTTTGCAGAAGATCTGAGGCCACCCGACCACATCTGCCCAGAGACAGGGTTCTGCTGTCCCCGCTTCGGCCTCCCCATAGACGCCTTACTGGGACTTTCCAGCCTCAGAGACTTCGGGAACTACCATGTCCCAGCACGGATCAGGCTCCGGACACCTGACCTCCAGCCACAGAGCCAACGCTGCCGGCCTCTGTAACTTCGTCCGGGAGCCTGACTCAATCCCTGAAAGCTATCCTTTCTTTATCCACCTCGTTACCCCCCCACCCACCCCCCCCCGCTGAAGGGAAGTTTCTAGAAAACAAAGGGAATTCCTCCTCCATGCTGTCAGGGGTCCTTGCTCCTACCCACCCCTGTCACTGAGCCCCAGGGCAGCCCCACACGTGTCCCTGGCTGGAGGAGGAGCGAGCCCAGCCCGCTGCCACCCCTCCCGCCCACCTCCCCCCACTGGCGCCTGGGCTCGAGCAACTGGAAGCTGCCACTTGGTCAGCAGATGGAGGGTGAGGTCAGCGGAAAAAGCTCTCCACGTATCTTATACAAAGGCGAACGCTTTGTTTAGCTGGAACCACTCGCCCCAGGCCCTGTGGGCGGTCACTCTCCGCCCAGACCCTACTCTGCAGCGGGGCTATGAGCCGGGCAGCCTCTGCCGGGCAGTGAGCCCAAAGGATAGTTACATTTTTGCTCTTCCTCGGGGACGATGCGGTAAACTTTGTATGGCTCGGAAATGTCCAGCTGGGACCGGTCTGTCACTTCCTCAAAATCTGGGCTCTTGTTCAAGGCACAGCGTAGCCTCGTCTTCCAAGTGGCTGGTTCAGCTTTGTCTCCTTCCTTAAACTTCCCTTTAAAGACTGCCCAGGCCTGGAGGAAGGAAGAGAAGCACATTACACTCGCAGCGGCTGCCCCTCCACAGTGAGGCCACGCTGCCACGGCCAGGACCCAGAACACCCTTGCTCTCCTGCAGCTTCTCTGGCCATCGGCTCCCACCCAGGGAACTTCAGAGCTCGGCACTTGAAGCAGACCACTTCCCCCGACAGATGGCAAAAGCCCCCAAGCTGGGAAGTGGCTCCTGCGAGACGGCCCAGCTGAGCCGGGATTCGAATCCAGGCCCCCCCACCCCGCCAATGCACATGTAAACACACGTGTCGGTATGTCTCTTGGCAAATCCTCCACTGGACCGGAGGGTCAGGAAAAGCCTGAGGTCAAGTATCACAGAGAGGAAGTCGCACATGGTTTCACTAGAATGTTCAAAACAAACAACAATTTTTTGCTTTTTCAAATTGGCTAAAATTTGCCATGAAAAGGGAACACTTGAAAAAACCCTCCGTGTGGTCATCCACTGCCCTGCGATTTTTATAGACATTTTGTTTTGCATTTGGGTATTTATTCCAGCTGCCCCTTCCTCCCACCCACCACCCCCCCCCCTCCACACACACACACACTCCACCAGCCCTGGGCACTGTTCAAACGCAAGGAAATATTTTTCCTCTCCGCTGTTTTTCACAGCTCTGTTTTCTGACCAAACCCTACCATTTGAATTAGGACCAGAAATTCAAAGCTGGAAATAGAGTCGAAATGTAGAATGAGGCAGTATTTTTTTTTTAATCAAATGTGTAAATGGCACAGTTTTGAGATTTCAAAATGCAGACACACCCATTAGGAGGTAACTCCCATGGGGTGAAAATAACCTCCCGGTTTAGGCAAAAGCAGATACATCTTCCAGCCTAAAATAACACAAGGTCTGGAGGGAACTCTCAGCCCCCTTCAGGAAAATGCAGCTCTCAAGTAACCTTCCCAAGTCCTGCACCTGGGATTAGCGGCCACTGTCCTGATGCCAAGCCAGCGGAGCCTCACCAGGTCAAGCCAACACTAGCGCCAGCCCCTGGGGACCTAGTGACGACCGCTCCTGGGTGCTGCCCATTAAGATGCTCGCGCAGCAGGTGTGGGTAGGCCTGGGAGTCTGCATCCCAGCACACTGCCGGAGGTGGCCAGGAGGCTGAGCCACAACTCCCTCCGGAGGATGCCTGCTGTCCCCTCCCACAGGCGTGGAGGCTGGGCCAGTCACATCAGTGCCCGTGCCCTCTCCCCTGGGTGCCCTCTCCCCTGGGTGCCCTCTCCCCTGGGGCACCCTGCATTCGGGTTCTGCACCTCCGCCTGAGATGAAGAAATTGGAAGAACGTTCCCATTAATGAGGAATGACTGTTTCCTTTCCTGACAGAGCTGCAAAGCCCCCGTTAGAGCTATTTCTTGAAGCAAATAATCTTCAGTCCTTTCTTTCTTTCACTCTCATTATTCATTCGCAGCACCACAGGCCTTGGATTGATTTTTTTTTTTCTTTTCAAAGAAAGGTAAGCACTACCCACGTGCACGCTGGACAGTAATTTCTGTGTTTTCTTACTTTAATTGGAGTCTCCGCCTCGGCACGACTGAGGTTTGGGGTGGGATCATTCTTTGTGGTGGGGGCTGTCCGACGCATGGCTGGACACCAAGAAGTATCCCTGGCCTCTACCCCCTAGATGCCAGAACCACCGCCCATTGTGTTAACCAAAAGTGTCTGCAAACATTGCCAAGTGTCCCCAGCAGGGAAAACTGACAGCTCCTGCCACCAGAGAGCCCGGCTGGCCCATGTCACATGTGTGCCGCAAGAGCACGGCCCGGAGCACACTGGCCCCAGCGCTGCCAGGGTCACCGGTTCACCCCCACTTACCTGCAGGAGAAAGCCAGGACACCCCCACACCCAAGCCAGGCCCAGGCTGAGGAGGTGCCCCAGGCTGCATCTCCTCTGGGGGTAGCCAGCTCTCGTCAACATGGTAAGACACTCTCCCCAAGTGGGCTCCATCGGGCCCAAGCCTCCCGGCCACCGGGCTCCAGCCGCCAGCCGCACGGCCTCTGGACAGGGCTGCCTCTGCTCGAGTCTCAAGAATCCAACACTATTATTTTGTTTCCTAGGGGGCTGCTGAATTTTAAACACCGGAGCCACTAAGTGAACATGCACTCCCCCCAGGGCTGGGCAGCCGCTGGGCACCAGCCCTCAGTCACCGGATCCCCCTGCACTCCTGGAGGAGGGGGACACTCTGTAAGAATGACCACGAGCTGCTCTCAGGACCCGAAATGCCCCGGACGCACCGAGCGCGGACTGCTGCCAGGCCCAGGGCGAGGCCGCGACGAAGGCCACCGGCGGCAGCACCGTCTGACCACCCGCGCCCAAGGCAGGCGAGCACCATTTTCTTCACTCACAGACGTGTGAAAGGTCTTTGATTGTTTGAAACAAAACGGGGCCGGCCGGGGCCAGACTGCTGATGGCCTCCAGCAGCGGCGGCAGCGGGTCAGCACCAGGTGTGCCCCAGAGGACGGAGGCGCGAGGCGCAGGCAGGCAAGCCCACCAGGCTCTTCCCTCAGGATCTCACTGGCAGGGGGCGGGGGGTGTCTCCCCCACAGACCTCATGGCCCCAGCTCCAAGCGGACACCATGTGCCCCTCCTGCCCCCATTCCTGCTGAGATTGTAGACTCATTTCAGATTGCCACACTGTCGACTGCGTAATCAACGGAAAGAAAGCCCTGGAAATCTTGCACGTTCTTCTCCAGGCTGTTGAAATGCTGGGAGGAACGTTGCATAAGACACATAAATCTGGGGCTTGATTTCATTCTCCCTAGAGCAGAGGTGGAAGCAGGGGGAGGGTGAAGGGAGCGCCACAGGCGGGTCCTACAGGGCCTGTCCAGCCCCTGGGCTCTCCCTGCACCCCACACCACCATTTAAACCTCTGTCCTGGTCATGGGCAGCTCCTAGAGGGGCCTCCACAGGAATGAGCAGGGGGGTATACCCCCCAGGGAGGGGGCATTTGGCAACGTCAGAGACGTTTTTGGAGGTCGCAGGTAGGACTCGGGGAGTAGCCAGGGGTAGCCAGGGATGCTGCAATGCACCCTGCAGTGCTCAGAGGGACGCCCACAAGAGCTGTCTGTGTCCCACCAGCCAGGGCTGAGGAAATCTGGGCTGTCAGCATCTAGAACCTACACTCCCAACTAACTGGGCACAGTTTAAACTTAGCCAAGTTTTCCCAAGAAACTGACCCTGATGCCAGAGGCAAAACCCTGCAAGTGAATGAGAGCAGAGCCCACAAAACTCCGAGAAGGAGACAGGTGGCCCAGCCCCAGCATCGTGGTGGGCACGCGGGTCCTCTCAGGGAGGGGAGTGAGCAAGGCCTGCATGCGCCCACTTCTCCTGGAGACAGCCTGCAACCGGCATCAGTCTCCAAGAGACTAGAGACCCAGACTCCAGGCTTAGGAGAATATGCAAGGGTGTGAGGCCTCGCAGACTTCAGACAGACCCTGAGGGGCTAAAGAGCCACTTAAGTCAAGAATGGCCGATTTACATTCTGTTCTGTTCGGGGACTGGGATTTAATGGGCTGTCATTGTGTCCCTTGGTGTCGGAACACGGGCAGCCCTGGCTGAGCATCGAGCATCGGTTGCTGCCCAGGCGGGCTCTGCCTGCTTGGGGTTGGGAGGGAGCAAGGACTCAGGGGTGGGCTGCCCAGGCTCGAATGCCAGCTTCATCATCCAGGAACTGGGAGCTGGGACCAGCCACTTCTTCCCCCGGGGCCACTCTGGCACCAGGTCGAGAAAGGCACCTGCCCCCAGGGCGATGCGACAGGAAACCAAGCAGAACCCGAGAGCCTGGCCAGGCACAGAGCAAGCTCAGCGGGCCCGGCTACCAGGGTGCAGAAGGGGAACAGAACCGCAAGCCCTCCACGCCTGGGTGCTCGGGACCCTCAAGGGAGGGAGCACTAGTTTTAGACACCCCACCAGCCGGCCCCAGGAGCGAGAACAGGTGGCGGCCTTCTTGTCAGAGTAGACCCGCCTGGCCAGCAGGAAGACGCAAATCTCTCCCGGAATTCTAAGTGGGACTTGGACAGTGGCCGGGGGAGAGGTCTCTCCGAGGCCCTCGCGAAGCTGTCTTTCCACAGCAACGGGGCGTGGGTGGAGAGCGTGCCCGGGGGAAAGGTCGTCGGAGGAGCGACCTCCAACGTGGTGGAGTCACATGACTGATACGAGGCCACCTGGTAACGACTGTGGAAGGGCGCTCGGCACCAGTGTTTGCCCCTCACCAACGGGGGCAGTGAGGCCACCCCTCGCCCCTCCACCGGCCCCGCGGAAGGGAGCGGCTGCGCGGACTTGGGGAGGCGGGTTCTGTACCTTGAAGATGGAGGCATCCACCTCCTGGTTGTAGTCCTGCTTGCCAGCGTGTTTCCACGGGATCCGGAACATGCTCTTTTCATCATTCTCCCAGATCAGCCCCGGGTACATGCCGCTGTCGATCTGCTCGATCAGCCACTGCCGGAGCCGCCGCCCGCCGTTGCGGTCACACATCCTGGGAAGAGAAAGCCGGACGCGGTGTCACAGCCCACCCCTCTCGTCACAGCCGCATGCCCAGCACAGCCAGGAGCTGATGACAGTGGTCGGGAGGCCCAAGCAACAAAGCGGCCAGCCCAGGAGCCCCAGGCCCAGGAGCCTGGCCCCTGCCCAGAGAAGACCACGCTGGCCTCCTGCAAAACTTTAGCGGCTGGCGGGCAGATGTAGGCCCCCTAGGTGCTGGCCATCCTCTTTCAGCTTTTGCCTGATGTTGCATTCCAGGCAAACACAGCCACACCTGACAGCATCTTCGTGCCACCTGCAGCATGAGACGGGGACGTCACCTCCACGTTCCCAGTGCCCTCAACGGTGGTCACCACTCTCAGGTGGTGCATCACCTGATCCTGCTGTTACCAGTGTTCACGAGTGGATGTGACATCTGTGCTCTCTGAGACAGAGAAAACCCTCATAGCTACCCCTTCTAGAAGGTTCTTCCACAGCTAGGTCAGTGACAAGAGCGGGAGTTTAGGTATGAGACAGAGCTGGGTGCCCTTCCAGTCCCACCATCTCTGGGCCGGGTGGCATGGCCACCCCTTAACCTTGGAGGGGGGCAGCCACCTGCAGGAAAGCCGGGATAATGACTGCTCAGCGGCAGCAGCACTATGAGGACGCATATCTGAGACAGTCCCAGGCCTCACAGCCTCCCCAGGGAACAGACACTGCTGCTGTTATCCCACCTCCTTCCCGGGGACCCTTGTCACCCGCTGGAGAGAACAGACGAGAGCCAGGGAATCAACTGGGTTGCAGATGCAGCAAGGCTGGCTGGGCAGACTCTTTCAGAAACACCAGCATCTCAGGACTGCTCAGCCCAGGGCACGCAAAGACACCCCTTGGCAGGACATCTCTGTGGGAGCAGGGAGCCTCCCGGCAGCACAGATGGAGGGAACACCGCCACACTGACAGACGGCCAGCATTTACAAGAACAGGATGGAAATCCCCTTGGCAGCTGGACAGCTGCCCACCCAAAAGAAAAAAAACTGGCACGTCCATCCTTCTGATCAAAATGTGACCTCGTCAGGCAAAAAAAGTTGGAAAGAATCAGCAGTGCCGAGACACAGCGTCCCTAAGTATAGGGGTGCATCCGGAGCCCGCCGGTCCACAAAGCAAAGCTGTGTGTCAGCCGGCAGGTGGCTGCGGGTCAGGGAGAAGGGCCAGGCCCAGGAGGAGGGGGTGAGGGCCCCGAGCAGCAACTATAACTCTTCCACCCAAAAACCCCAGCCACGCGTTCTCATGCCGCGAGGGTGGTGCAGGGCGTGACTAGGGACGGGACTGCGACTTGGAAGCTGGCAGTGCCAGCAAAGGCTCCTCTCCGCTAACCTGGGGAAGCCGGTCTCTCCGATGCGCTCCCCGCGTTCTAAAGCTGCTCCTTGGGTTCAAGTGACGAAGGCACAGATTTGGAAGGACACCGGGGAGAGAAACGAACTGCCAGCAGCAGCACCCCTGGGTGCAGACCCCCAGAGCTTCCCCGGAGGAAAAGCAGGAGGAGCTGGGTGGGGGGACACGGGTCCGCCACAGTCCGGTCCAGGAGCTGTCCCTGCGCCCCAGCGCTCGGCTCGCCCCTCAGAACAAGGCCAGAGGCCAGAGTCCGCGCTCCGCGGGCCTCCTGAAAGGAAAGCAACCTTCACCTGTGCGGGCGCTTTCCAGAAAGCGGGTCAGACTTTCTCACGGGAGCCGGAGCCCAGAGCTGCGAAGGGAAGGGCGCAAGGAGAAGCAGCAGGGGCCGGAGAGAGGAGTCCGGGGAGCCGCGCACAGAGCAGAAAGCCGGGGAGCCCTGCAGACATCACCGAACTCTGCCCCCTCTTTGCTCAAGAGGAGAACCCGAGGCCCCGGGGCTCCCCAGGCCCAGGCGGCCCAGGGTCTCCTCCACTGGCCCTGGGGGCCGCCGGGGGCGCGGGGGCTCCGCACGGGAGGGCCCGGGGGTCTGGGGCGTCGCCCGCGCCCCTCCCGCCCCGCCCCGGCGGCCCCGAGAAATGATTTATTGCGCCCCAATGAGCGAGTGCCGGGAGCGCCGGCCGGGAACGCGGCACCAGCCCAGTCACATGCCGCGACTTCCTCTTCCCAGCGGCGGGTCGGGGTCGGGGTCCCCGTGGACGGCCAGCCCCGGGGCCGGAGCCGGAGCCGGAGCCGGGGGCCGCTCCCCGCTCCCTCGGGCGCGCCTCCCCGCCGGGCCCGCCCGCAGGTGCCGCCCGCGGAGAGCAGCGGCCGCCCGCGGACCCGGGCGGCGCGGAGGGGGGCGCGGGCGCACCTGCCGTTCTGGAAAGTTCCGTCTCCGTCCCGTCTGCGGAGGGTTCGACCCGGCCCGGCCCGGCCCGCGCCCGCTGCGCCCCGCGGCGGCCCGAGCGGCTCCCCGTCCCGAGGGGTCCCCCACGGCGCCGGCGCCCCCGGGCGCGTCCCGGGTCCCCCGCGCCTCCGCGCGCGCCGCGCCCAAGTGTTCCGCGCACAGCAGAGTTCAAGGGAAAAGGGGCATTTTTCTCCAAACGCCGGCCAATGCCAGGGGCGGCCGGGGCCCGTCTCCCTGCCTGCCTGCCTCCCGGCCCGCGCCGCCCGCGCCCACCTGCGCCCACCTGCGCCCACCTGCGCCGCCGTCCGCGCCGCCCGCGCCCCACGCTCCTCCGCGCAGGTGCCGGGCCGCCGCCGGCGCGCGCCTTTAAGGGCGGGGGCGGGCCCCGCGCGGAGCGACGGCCGCGCCGGCCAATGGGCGGGGTCCCCGCCCCGGGGGCGCGGCGCCGGCCGCTTCTCCTAAGCCGGGGGGTTCCGAGAAACCGGCGCGCGCCGCGGACCTTCCCGCGCCCCGCGGCTCCCGGCCGCGGCCCGGCCCTGCCCGCGCGCGGGCCCGGCGGCGTGGGCGGGGGCCGCCCGCAGGACTTCCCCGAGCCCGGCCGGCGGGGTGCGGCCGGCGGGGCGGGGGGGCTGTGCCGCGCAGCGGGGCGCCGGCAGGGCCCCCCCGCAGGCCCTCGCGCGGGCCGGGGCACGCGGCGGGCATCGGCGCTCGCCGGCCGTCCCGAGGCGGCGCCGCGTGACCGCGGTCAGGGCCCGCGCCAAGGGGGGTGGGGGGGTCAGACCGCAGGGATCCAGGCTGGGGCGGCGGGACCCCCTTCATGCCGCAGCGGGTGCTGGTCCCCCCCCCCCCCCGCTGACCGCTGGGCGCACCGCCCCCACCAAAGCTCCTGCGCCGCGTGGGCGGCCTCCCCGTCCCGACAGACCCGAATAGTGTCCAGACAACGGCGAAGAGTCCACTAGACGCGGCTCAGAAAGGACGCGTCCCTCACCCCAGCGCCCCGCGGGCCAGCACCTGCGGCCCATGCAGCGGGGCGGACGGCAGCGCCAGCCCAGGGAGCCCGCGATCGCGGCCCGCGAGACCAGAGCTCCCGAGACCAGAGCTCCCGAGACCAGAGCTCCCCGAGACCAGAGCTCCCGAGACCAGAGCTCCCCGAGACCAGAGCTCCCGAGACCAGAGCTCCCGAGACCAGAGCTCCCGAGACCAGAGCTCCCCGAGACCAGAGCTCCCGAGACCAGAGCTCCCCGAGACCAGAGCTCCCGAGACCAGAGCTCCCCGAGACCAGAGCTCCCGAGACCAGAGCTCCCGAGACCAGAGCTCCCGAGACCAGAGCTCCCCGAGACCAGAGCTCCCCGAGACCAGAGCTCCCGAGACCAGAGCTCCCGAGACCAGAGCTCCCGAGACCAGAGCTCCCCGAGACCAGAGCTCCCCGAGACCAGAGCTCCCGAGACCAGAGCTCCCGAGACCAGAGCTCCCGAGACCAGAGCTCCCCGAGACCAGAGCTCCCGAGACCAGAGCTCCCCGAGACCAGAGCTCCCGAGACCAGAGCTCCCGAGACCAGAGCTCCCCGAGACCAGAGCTCCCGAGACCAGAGCTCCCCGAGACCAGAGCTCCCGAGACCAGAGCTCCCCGAGACCAGAGCTCCCCGAGACCAGAGCTCCCCGAGACCAGAGCTCCCGAGACCAGAGCTCCCCGAGACCAGAGCTCCCGAGACCAGAGCTCCCCGAGATCAGAGCTCCCCGAGACCAGAGCTCCCCGAGATCAGAGCTCCCCGAGACCAGGGCTCCCCAAGACCAGAGCTCCCCGAGATCAACTCCCGGCCCGTGTCTAGCTCGATGGTGCCGCCATGTCCAGTGAAGGAAATGTTCACGGGAAACTCCTCGACCGGAGCCATGGCGTGTTGAGGAGGGGTCCTGTGTGTGTGTGTGCACGTGTGTGTGCACGCGCGTGTGTGTGCGCGCTTGTGTGTTCAGTCTGGAGCCCCTCCTGGGTGCGCACCAGCAGTTACGGTAGACATGAGAGTCCAGCGGGGAACAGCACAGGTGAGAGAAATGAGAAAGTTCTGGAAACAGAAGGAAAAGGTCGTGCCTTTCCACATTCCATTCTGGGGAAGAATTAGGAGAAGTGAGGGTCATAATTGATTTTTCTTTTTATCTCACTGGGCAACGCTACGTAAGCAGCAGCATTTACGTTTTATTCAGACTCTTCCAGGACATGACAATGCATGAGACTGAAAAAGAAATTTTATTTAAAGCCCCAAAATGAAAAAGAAAAAAAACCCTGCAAATTTGAAAAAAATGAATGTTTAAATAAAGGCCCCCCCAGACATAAACTGTCAACTTCATAATTGCGGTATTTGTAGTGATCAACATTTCATGACATTTGAAAGCCATGTGCAAAGATCACTTGACAGCACTGAGCCAGAATCTGATTTTACCCCGAAGGTCAAGCGCAAATCAGTGAGACACGTTGTGACCGTGTATATTAAGTCCCAAATGATGGCACAAAGGTTTTGGTGGGGCTGAGTCCAGCGTTTCTAAAATGCGGGTCAAGGAGGCAGGAGCAGGGAGGTCAGACCACGGCTGCCGGGAAGCCTTCGGAGCCATAAATGAAAGAAGTTCCCGTTGCCAAGTAATTTCAAATGAAAACTAATTTTTACAGCTCAAATTCTTGAAGAGTATTTAGATAATGTGGAAGTATTTCAGATGTTTGATATGACGTGGGGTGAGCTTTCAGAACTCGGAGAGCCTGCTCTCAGCAGCTCTCAGCTAAGATGCGTTGCAGGGAGAAGACGCAGAGCAGGGCCCATGCGGGGAAAGGTGCATGGGGGGCCGAGGCCCCAGCCCCAGCTCCCAGAGCCCTCTCCCAGAGGGTCACACAGGATGAGCCGAACTCCCGGATGTGACCACACCTGGCAGGGGCTCAGGTGCTGTCTGCAGGGATGCTGCTGGATTGTCAGGGGCTGGTCTCAGAGGCCCTCCCCTGGCACTGGGCATCAGGGCAGTGGGCCCAGCCCACAGCTGGCTCTCCCAGCCGGCAGTCTCCGTGGCCACGTCAACTCCTCTGCACGAGCTATGGCCGCCTACGGCTGTATGTTCCCACCACTGCTCCCCAGGTACCTGTCATGAACTAGGATGGACTCCCCAGGCTCGAGGGCTCACGCTGAAGGACAGAGGGCAAGAGGGCAGCCACACCCAGCATGGGGGACAGAGGTGAAGGCCGGGTGGGAGAGAGGCAGCTCTCCCAGCTCCTGGAGCACTGTGTGGGTGACCCCGCCAGTGGGGACACCGCTCCCCCCAGCCATGGCGCCCAGGCTGCACGGCCATGCTGGGCTTGGGTGATGCTTCCTTGCACTCTGGCCACTGGACCAGTCTCCTCGTGCCCAGGGCTGTGATGCTGAGAGCGGGTGCTCTGGGCACCCCCCAGGCTGGCTGCACGTGCCGTGTGTAACTATCCTTAACCTCGGCGAAGTGTAGGAGGATGGGCGCTTGCTTTCCTCTGTCGGGCTTTAACGTCCTCGTTTGACCTGCTCACTGGAGCACCCACACGGCCCTGCCCGCTCGAGCAAAAGCCAGATCCCGATGTGCCCCCTGGCTTTCCCGTCTTCCCGGCGTGATCCCAGGGCCCTCCAGGAACAACTCTGGGCACGGGAGCGCGGAAAGTCCTGCTAAGAAGCAAGTCAGAGAAACTGGATAGACAGGCCCGCAAGGGCAGAAGTGATGGAGATCAACCCAGCAGCGCTCACCGCGGGACAGAGAGAAAGGCCGGAGAGACCCACAGCAGGGCGGGCGGGAGGGCGAGGAATGCCACGGGCAGAAGGGACCTGCGCTAAGGGAAAATCTAACCACCAGGAAAAACAACATGGGGAGTGGGGGTCGGCAAAGATCTACCAAACAGAGCAGAGAACGCGCTGACCCTACAGGAAGAGACAGATCAGCTGAAGCGCGTGACATTCGGGGCCTGTTCATGGCGACAGCATGTGGAACGTGCAGGCAGGCCAAGGCTGGGCACGGCCCCGGCATGCGTGTTTTCCGGACTAGGCTTCCATCCACAACACCCGAGGAAATCCAGCCAGTCAATATGAAGAAGACAGAGCCCACCCGATTCTCAAGCAGAGGCAGCTGATGGCACGGATCCTCGTTGCTGCCAGGGCGTTTCCTGCTGAGGCAGGAAACGCAGGGGTGCGCGCTCGGCCATGCTGGGCTTGGGCGACGCTTCCTTGCGCTCTGGTCACCGGACCTGTCTCCTCGTGCCCGGGGCTGTGGTGCTGAGAGCAGGTGCCCTGGGCGCCGCCCCGTGCTGGCTGCACATGCCGTGTGTTACTATCCTCAACCTGGGCAAGTGCCCTGGCTTCTTAAAAGAAATGTCACTTACTGGCACCACGCCGATCAGTTTCAAGAGCTAATTGATGCCCTTGAAGTGGCTTTTGAGGGTGTGAAACAAATGGTTTGAACTGGCACCTCTCCTGGAGTGTGGAAGTTGTTGGCTTAACTTAAGGAGTCATGTCCATGCCAGTTTTCGATAGTTGAGGATAAAGAAAAGAAAAAGATTGATCACTGCGCTGCCCTGATCCAGTGGCCAAAAATGCTTGACAGCGTGATCAGCATCAGCAGGAAATGCAAATTAAAACCACAGTAAGCGATCACTCGCACCAGCAGAATAGCTAACACTGGCGATATGGAACAGGGGAAAGGAGAACTTTCCTGCCCGGCGGGGAGGAGCACAGATGGATGCTGTCCCCTCGGAACAGGTTACCCACGCCTGCCCGCAGCACTCCTCAGTACCTCCTCAAAAGAAATGAGTGCATGGGGTCCACTAAAACCCACACCGGGCTTGATGCACAGGAACCCAACTGCCAGACTGGAAACAATCAGATGCCAGCCCCCCAGAGACCAGGGAGACACTGCGGCGCGTCCACTCAGTGAAAGCCTCCTACAGATAAGGGACACAGGGGTGAGGTTCAGACACATCGGGCTGAGCCCCAGAAGCCTAGCAGAAGTAGAGCTGCGGTCTGACTTATCTCATCCACTGGACTTCGGGAGCAGGCACCACCGCCTAGTGGCGGAGCTCACGCCCAATGCAGGTGACTGCTGGGTGGTGGTTTGGGGGCTGAGTGGAGCCCCTGGGGCTGACAAGGGGCCCACGCTGGGGTGTGCCCCCGTGTTTGTACCACAACAATGAACAACTGACAATAGGCAGGTTGAAGGCAAGTAGGAAAAATGTTGGCTGAAAGATTCCTAATATACCTTCCCTGGACCAGGAACCAAGGCCAGTTACAAGCACAGGCACTCCTGGGCACACAGGTGCAGAAAGGTGTGTGAGTCTCCTGGG